AAAAGGAGGTAGGGTAAAGGGTGGGAGGTGGGGATGGGTGGGGTAGGGGAGAGCGGTGGGGGGAAAATGGAGAAAACTGTACTTAAACAATAAAAAAATAATAAAAAAACATATCTGTACTCCATATACTTCTGCCTAAGTCTTGCCACAGCTCTTCCCAGTTTCATTCCTATATCCTCAGTCTCTGCTTTTCATTGACCCATCCTCTTGTAAGAGTTATCTTTCAACGTTATCTTTAATTCCTCACTTTTTAATCTATGATCATCTAAAAATCTGTTTTATAAGGATGTTGAAATTGCTCTTGCTAATGACTTCTATACTGCATAATCGAATGAACTTTGTAATAGCTAGAGGACCAATAGCAGATGGCCCATTCAAATTAGAATAACTTAAAAAGTTTTTTTTTTATTGAGGTATAAGTGGCATGTAATGTTATATTAGTTTCAGGTGTACAACATAATGATTTAATATTTGTACATATTGCAAAATGATCACCACAGTAAGTCTAGTTAACATCCACCACCATTCAGTTATAAATTATTTTTTGTATGTGATGACAACTATTAAGTGTTACCCTCTCTCAGCAACTTTCAAATATGCAAAACAGCACAGTTGAGCATTGAACAATGTGGGGGTTAAGGATGCTAACTCCTGTGAAGTTGAAAGTCTGTGTGTAACTTTTGACTCCCCTCAAATTTAACTACAATCGTTCTTTAGTATCCATGGGGGACTGGTTTTAGGACCTCCCCATTCCTGGTCCAATACCAAAACTCTGTGGCTGCTCAAGTGCCTTATGGAAAATGGAATAAAACAATGTGTATAGTCAACCCTCTGCATCTGCAAGTTGGTTGAATACAAAGAACATACTATATATTTATTGAAACAAAGCCACACAAAAGTGGACCTGCACATTTCAAATACCGTGTTGTCTAAGGATGAACTGTATTCTTAGTTATAGCCACTGTGCTGTACATCTCATGACTTATTTATTTTATAACTGGAAATCTGTACCTTTTGACTCCCTTTACTTATTTCCACTCCTGCCCTTGCCTCAGACAACCACCAATCTGTTTTCTGATAAACATGTTTTATCAGAAACATGTTTTTAAAAAATTCCACATATAAGTAAGATCATATGGTATTTGTTTTCATGTGTCTGACTTATTTTACTTGGCACAATGCCCTCAAGGTCCACCCATATTGTCACAAATGGCAAGATTTTATTCTTTTTTATGGTTGAATAGTATTCCATTATTATATAAATATAATCTCACTTTTATTATATAAACTATATAGTTTATTATTATATAAACTATATAGATTTTATTCTTTTTTATGGTTGAATAGTATTCCATTATTATACAAATATAATCTCACTTTTATTATATAAACTATATAATCTCACTTTTTAAAAATTCATTCACCTTTTGATAGACATTTAGGTTGTTTCCATTTCTTGGCCATTTTAAATAATACTGCAATGAACATGGGGGTACATATATTTTTTCAAATTAGTGTTTTGTTTTCTTTGGATAAATACTCAGAAGTGGAATCAGTTGGTCATATGGTAGTTATATTTTGAATTTTTTTTAGGAGCCTTCATATTGTTTTTCATAGTGGCTGCACCAATTTACATTTCCACCAACAGTGCATGAGAGTTCCCTTTTTCTACATCCTTGTCAAATTATTCTAATTTGAGAAGAAATAACTTACAAAGCACCTATTTATAAGGATATGGTCAGTAAGAGATCTAAAGTGATAGTGAAGTTATCTAAGGCTAATAATAATACTAATTGTCACCTCTAGATTTGAGAGGCTGAGTGACTTTGAGATCCTGAGGTAGAGAGCTGGCATAGAGAAGATTACCCTGAGAAGAGCTTTTATAATTTATTCCGTCTCCTTGGGTGTGAGTTGTGCTTATTAACTTCAGTGTCACTCTTTGTCTTGGTTTTGCTCAAATAGATGGTTGTATTTAGAATTAATGAAAATATACTAAACTGGATGAGCAAATGGAAGTTGATTTTATTCTGATATTATTGCCTAAAATGGGGAAAAGAACACAGACCAAGTCTGGATACTCAGTTCTGCTAAATTAAAAGTCCAGACTGGGATGAGATAAGGTGTCAGATGCAATGGGTTTAAGCCTGGGGGTAAGCTAGTGGAAAAGTCCTGAAAGAGTTTAGCGAGAGGTTGATCAATGAGATGTGTCAAGCACATTGAGTTATCCCTGAGGTTGTGCGTGTTTGTTTCTGATGAGGCCATCTGTGTTTGCTAATTGGCGCCCAAGGAAGTTAGGATCCTACTCTCCACAGAGACTGAGAGATGGGGTATCTCCTTCAATGTTTGAATTTCAGAAGATAGCTTCCAGGTCCTTGAGAAAGACATTTCCTGGGTTGTATAACTGGCAAAAGGTTAGAAGATGATTCATATACACTAGAACGGGACAGAGAAAGAATTTACAATTATAAGTTTTCTTAAACAAATATTATAAGAAAAAAGAGCCCAGGGGCCTATACTCAGAAAGAAACCTGTCTTAGATCAAGCCATTTTGGTCATTGGTTAATCGATTTCTTTTCTGGTAGGTAATATTGGAAAGCTGCTGTATTTTTTTTGATGCAACCTGTTGTAGGGGAGATGTGAGGTGTGCTAATAGTTTGATTTATGGTTGAAGCTTGTTTGCCATGCCCCATGGGTCATGGTTGTTTATATCCATGTTGGTCACTGCCCTGTTTTCTGTACCAATATCCAATATTCTGGGAATAACCACCAATACTACTTGACTTTTAGCCCACTTCTTGGTCCAAAAGTGTGTGTTCAGGAGGCTAGACATGCCTAACTACCTATTAATCACCACCTTGTTTTTCTAATAGTCCTCTGCTTCTTAGTAATAGACATTCCTAAGTCTGAATCTACATTATTTTATGACAGTCCTTTCCCCTCTACTTTTGGGCTTCTAGTCTTCCCTAATTCCATCAGAGCTACCTTTCACCTTTGGAGTTTCCCCAATTTTCTTCTGCTTCATGAATGGCTCCCCATTTGTTTTGTATCATGTTATTGGTGGACTTATTATTATTGAATACGCTAGTGTTGCTGAGCTTTGTAGTGGGAGGAGAAACCTTATTTTTACATTATTAGAGCCATATCTTATTCAGAGGAATGATATTTTTCTGACTCCAGGCTGTCAGTTAGCCTTGTGACCTCAGTTCTCTGATGGGTCTAAGAAAAGTGGTTTATTTTCAGTGTTTTATGCCTTTTCTTAATGTAAGGATAGGAGTAACTTCTAAGCTCTTTACATGTTGGAGCTGAAAGCCTGAGATTTTTTTTTTGTACTCAGATTTTAGCCACATAATTTTTTACTTATTTGTTATTTTCTCAGTCATTCTATACAAATTTAAAGCCAAAGTTGGTAGGTACAAAATAGACAGGAGGAAGTTGAGAATAGTATAAAAAATGGAGAAGCCAAAGAACTTATATGTATGACCCATGGACATGAACTAAGGGGGAGGGATGCTGGAGGGATGGAAGATGCAGGGTGGAGGGAGATAAAGGGGAGAAAAAATGGGGACAACTGTAATAGCATAATCAATAAATTATATTTAAAAATTAAAAAATGCAAAAAATAGAGCTTTTTTGTCCATCATTTTTACTTGTCTCACTGGGAGGTTTTATCTGATTTATCCTCTGCTATTAGCAGAATTGGAAATCCAATCTCTTCGATAGCCAGATTAGGAAAAAATCTAGTATCTTTCTTTTAAGACTTATTTTTTTTCTCCTTGAAATGTCAAAGAATCTCAGGGACTTTATCCAAACAGCATATGGAAAGGGAAACAAGCAACTTGACCCACCCATTAATGCACTACTCTTTATCACCTGTCAATGTTTCTGTTCTTGGTTCTTGGGATGCCTGCCAAAAAAGGTGAAAGCACACAGTCCAGTTCTGCCTTATCAATAGATGTAATAGGGCCTCTGCTATTTAGCTTACTCTGCCAAAGGAAAGATGATTCATTTCCTTAAATTTTAATGGCCCTCACTGTTGGGCTTCCAAGCTTATCGGCACAGTTAGGCTTTTCTTCCCAAACTTTGCCATAATGTCACGTGTTTGGGTCAGGAGAGCCTTGTAAACTAATTCACATATCCTGGAGCCAACATTTTACCCTTGCTAATTATATTTTGGCATTGAAATAAATAAAATTTTTTTTACCTACTTCCCTTTTTCCTATGCACTTATGTCATTTCTCTTACAGGGAAAGTTCCACGTCAGAGAATTTTGATGTCCTTTATACTGCCAACGAACCATAGGATCTCATCGGAATTTTATTAAGTTATTAGAGAAATACAAGTAATGTTGAATGTAAAAAGAGTAGTTGAAATACTCTTCTTAGTGTTTAATACAAATTTCCCCATAAACTGGCAAGAGTTTGTAAAACGACAAAACAATTCCTGTCTAATTCTTGATTTATATAACCAAGAGACTCCTCTACAGTGGTTCTTTCTGAGGATTTTAAATCTGCTGTATTTATCATTAAACAGGAAAATTGCTGGCAATTTTAAATGAAATTTTCTTGTATTAATAGAGAAGTAATATATAATTTCACTTAGATATAATTCCTTTTTATTGTCATCTTAATTTACATTTAAAAAAATTAGTAGTGAGTTGGAATAGAGAGAAAGGGTTAAGGGCAGGGACCCTGGAGCCTGCTTAGTTGGGTTCTAACCTCACTCTGCAACTTCCTTCCCACTTGGCTTAGGGCAAGTCTCTCAACTTTCCTGCCTCTTGTGTAAAATATATAAGTAACAATTGTAGTTTCATAAGGCTATTATGGTAATTAGTTGAATTTACAACAGTGTCTTGCAAGTATGCTCTACAACATAGATGAATTGATTTGACTCAATGATCCTAGCAATTAGGAGATGTGAAATTTTACCTCCAGCCTCTTGTGTTCCAAAGCCTGTGCTTTTTCTGTAATACCAGTTATAGAATTCTATCATTTAAAGCTGGCTCACTTCCTGGATACATTCTCATCCAAACCCTGCAGCCTCTGGAAGCCCACTCTCAGCTCCCAGGTCCTAAGAGCATATACCATAGGGTTTAAGGCTGGGGGGATGACACTGTGCAGCACATTGAGGAGAACAGGGATAAAGACAAACCTTCCTCTAGCCAGATGGCTGACAGACACTACAACAATGGCTGTGTAGAAAAAAAGAATGAGGATGAGGTGGGAGCTGCAGGTATTCAGGGCCTTAGATGTTGCTTCAGCAGAGTTCAACATCATCTCTGAGCGAATAATCAAAGCATAAGAAGTAAAGACCAAACCCATGTCACTCCCAACCATAATCCAGGCCAAGACCAACTGGTAAAAACTATTAATAGTAATGTCATCACAGGCAAGACTGGTGACGCCCAAATTAGAGCACAGGCAATGATCAATCTCATTTTTGGAGCAGTAGTGTCACTGGGCAGCCAGTACAGGCAGTGGAATGGTCAACAGAACATATCTCTGTATCATAAATATTGTGACTTTGATCACAAAAACCTCAGTGACTATGGAGGGGTACTGTAGGGGATGACAAATAGCTACATATCTATCCACAGCCATGCAGAGAAAAATGCCTGACTCCATGCCCATGAAAGAGTTGATAGCACAAATCTGAGCAAAACACTCAGGGAAGCTGATGATTTTAGCGTCAAACCAGAAGATGGCCAGGATCTTGGGCATGATGGTGGTGGCCAGGCCAATGTCCACTGCAGCCAGAATACCAAGGAAATAGTACATGGGCTGGTGCAAAGAAGGCTCATGTTGGATGGTGATCATGATGAGGAGATTGACACCAAGAGCAAAGAGGTAGAGCAGAGCCAGGGGCAGGGAGAGCCAGTGCTGCCACTCGTGAATGCCTGGGAGCCCCATCAGGATGAACTCAGACACACAAAACCTTGAACTATTGATTATATTCAGGGTGGTATCCATCTCATGTGATGTCTTCTTCTGAAGAATATACCTGAGAATTAAAGGGAAACAAAAATAGGCTTTTGTTTGCTCAGCTGAGGATCAACATTTGTGTTAGAGGTATAAGATTCATCCATAACAACTCAGTCATTTTAACACAATATATCTTCAACCTACTTGGAACCCGTAAGAAAAGTTCAGATAAGAGCAACAGAAAAAAGAAAAGGGATTAAGCAAAAAAAAAAAAAACAAACCAACTCCCCCAAAAACCAAAAACCAAAACCTTTCTAAAAACAAAAACCAAAACCAAACAAACAAACATATAAACAGAGAAACTTGCAGACACAAATAACAGTATGGTGATTACTAGAGGGAATAGGAGCTAGGGGAAGGTAAAAGAGAGTAAATGGGGGATAAATGGTGATTGAAGGAGACCTGACTTTGGGTAGTGAACACACAATACAACATACAGATGATGTATTATAGAATTGTACATTTGAAACCTATATAATTTTATTAACCAACATCATTCCAAAAAATTCATTAAAAAAAGAACAACAGAAAAGACAAAATAATTTCCATGATAACAATGTTGGCAGAATAAAAGTGATTTACTGGCTTTTTTGACATCCTGGGTAGATTGTGTATGTGTGTGTGTGTGTGTGTGTGTGTGTGTGTGTGTGTGTGAGAGAGAGAGAGAGAAACACAAACATAAAGCAGAAAACATGTGTCTTATAAAGAACCCAAATTTTCAAGAGGTAAAGTTAAAGGGAAGAGAAACTTTTTCCACTAATGGGTACCTTCAGGAAGACAATAAATAGCTACAGTGACAACCCTGAACATGCTTTTCTTTTAAACAGTGCCTGTAGTAGGCAAATCGTTTCTGACAAAACCTGTCTCATTTAATCTTCCCCAAACAGGTATTATGGACATAAGGATACAGAGGTTGAATGATTTGTCTAGATAAGAACCATATTGAAAACAATTTTTGCATTTAAGACTAGCACTTTTTCCATAAAAGAGCCTCCCAAATCAGTTAGTTCCCTTTAGGAATATCATTTGCTCCCTGTTCTGATTATAAAAGTAATCATAAATACATACTTGAAGCTAAATTATAAATAGCCAATTTTATTAATAAGAGATATAAGGAAAAGAATTACCTACAAACTTTCAACTACTTCCAGATTTTTTGGGGTATAGGTTGAAAATATAGCAGGCATTTATCATACACATTTAGCTCATTTTACTTAAGCAATTTCTTGGCCTTTAATACTTTTTTTAAATTCTTACATTCTGGATTTTGTTCATTCTTGAATTATTGTAGATTATTTTCATGTATTGGAATCAAAAAGTGTATGGGGGAAAAGTGTATATGAACATTTTACTTTTGGAATCCTTCAACATCTGAGAATTCTTTTTGTTACCTTTGTTTGCGAAAAATACCTTTCTCTGTTAAATATTTAGGAATCAGTAGAATTCTTTTATCCTGTACTTTTTCTAACACAGTGCAATTTATTGGGAAACTCTTTGATATATATTTTGTTTTTTAAAATTGTTCCAATACATTTGTCTCCATTTACCTGCCATTACTCTCCCCTGTAGTTTTTATAAACTTTATTTTCTTTTTTCAAAAAAGATTTTATTTATTTATTTTTAGAGAAAAGCGAACAGATTGAGAAAGAGAGGGAGAGAAACATCAATGTGTGGTTGCCTCTCAAACACCCCCAACTGGGGACCTCGCCTGCAATGCAGGCATGTGCTCTGACTGGGAATTTAGCCCATGACCCCCTGGTTCACAGGCTGGCACTCAGTCGACTGAGCCACACCAGCCAGGGCTAAACTTTTTTTCAACAGTCACTAAATGTTATCATATGGTTTTATGACATTTTCCCCACTTTTGTTTTGTTTACAAGCTGCTTATATATAATTTTGGATATATGTATGTTTTACCTTTAAAAATCATACTTACATGATTTTTCTTTTATGTGCTTTCTATGCCTTCTAAGCTTAAATAGAACTCTAATAATTTATGAATGGCTCTATGGAAGTCTGTAAACTTCCTAAATTTACATGGAAAAATTTTGTCTATATTTCCATCATTCTGGGGAGAGAATCTGTTTAGCCATCATCAAACTCTCAAAGCATTCCATTATCCATACAAGAGGTATTGACAGAATATCATTCTTTACTCAAAATTTGGATTAATATTCACTTATATATTACTTTTAATTTTTAATGGTTGACTTTTTGTTTTTGTGACACAATTGATTTACATGTAATTGATTTTGCTGTTCCTGAGAGGTATGTAAATAAGTTTATTTCAAATAATTAAACACTGGCTTCTATATATCTCACCAAGTGACTATTATGCTTTTTATGGTCACACAGTGAATTTTTATATACATATATTTTATTTTTGGTCAATCTACTGTTTATATTTCTTTCTGATTAATTTTGTGCTTATGTCAAATTAAAAAGTTTTAATTTTTATAAGGGCTTTTATATATTTTTATATTTACATTCCTCTCATTCTCTTTAATTTTAAACCCACTTTTATGTGTTTATTTTTTAGATTAACCTTAAAATTTCTATGTTGTTATAAAATTACATTTTGATTGAGAATATGTTAAATTTGGTTATTAAATTTGAAAAAAAGTGGGCAGATTTATACTCTTAAGTTTCTTATTTGTAAATGTGAATCCTCTATTCCTTTGTTTCAATCCTAGATAAAATTTCATTAAAATTTTGTACCTCTGTGCTGTTCTTATTATGATAGATAATATTTTGTGTGAATATGCTTTTTCTTTGTACTATCAATGTAAGATAATTATGATAGCAAGTATTTTCTATTTTGGGGGTTGAATTTAATAGGATTTCAGTTACAAGTTACATTAAACATGATGTCTTTTTTAAATGTCTTTTTTCCTACCAGATGTAAAAAAGTAGTCTTTTGTTTGCAGTTGCTTTTTGTTCTGAGAGTCATGGATATAGAATTTATTATTTTATTTTATTATTTTTTAAATTTTATTTTATTTTTTATTGTATTTTTCTAGAACTTATTATTTTGGATCCCTTGGCTTATTAATTTATTGACTGACAATCTTAAAACTCGGTCTCGTTTCTCTCCTGTCTCCCAATCACAGGTTTTAGCCTCTGAAAAAGTGAAGAGCCTAGAAAAGAGAGCTCATAAATGTCAACTAAGAAAGTCAACCTGGAAAGCCAAAGATAAGGCATATCATCAAATTCAGAGATATGGACAGAATCTCGGGAATGTGGGACACATCCACCTCTTCACCTCTCAAGATGCATATCATTGTCTGGTTTACTTACTACTTCAGGAGGGGCTTTGAAGGGGCTCTCAGGCTGCAATGCGTTTTGTAGATGCTTCTGCTCTCTTGGATTCAGATGCCTGAGTTCAGCGTTTTTTTTGTTCAGAATAGATTCCTGTCCTAGCTGGCCACCCCACAAGTCTGGGGTTCTGTATGAAAGGGAATCCTGAGATGCCCGCTGTGCTGCTCTTTAGGCCCTCCTTGCTCTGTTCCAAGCATCCTCCAGGGTCTTTTTTTCATGCAGTGGGAATAGTGCCTGAGGATCCCTAAGGGTTAGCTAAGTACATCTGGCAGCAGATCCATTGAACTGTAGTTTCAGGGCAACCCATCAGATAGACTGCTCCAGCATCCTCAGGGATGAACTCACCCTTTTTTGATGAATACTGCCTCTCCTTATAGGAAGATTTCTTTTTGTTTTTTATTTTTATTTTATTTTATTATTGTAGTTAAGTTATAGCTGTCCCACCTTTTGCCCTGTTCCTCTCCCCTGCCCTGCCCCACCCTCAGTCAGTCTCCATCCCATTTTTGGTGTCCATGAGTCCTCTATTTATGTTTCTTCACTTGCTCATTCCCCTTATTTCCCCCACTTACCCCCTCTCCCACACCTCTGATCATTGTCAGATTGTTCTTTATTTCCATATATCTGGTTCTATTTTGCTCATTTGTTTGTTTTGTTGATTAGGTTTCATTTGTAGGTGAGATCATATGGTATTTGTCTTTCACTGCCTGCCTTTGAAGTCTCCCTATCTCAACATGTATATTTACTCCATAATATACTTTCTAAAGATTACCTCTATCTATATCCTGCCTCACAACTGTTAGGAGCAACACTTTATGTTGCTTTTTCATCCTCACCTCCAACATACATCTTACTGAACCGCAATTTAATTTTTTGTCTCAACATCACACAAAAATTGTTAATGACCTCAAACTGCCAAAAAATATTGGATGATTTTTAGAAGTTAGTCTTACCTGGGCACTTTCTGTATTTGTCCGTGTTTGTCAGTTTCTTCTTCTAGAACCACTTGCCTCTCTTCCCTTTTATTACATTGTATTTTTAGTGTAATTTAATAAATTTTAATAAAAAAGTAATATTGAAGTTGTATTCTGATTAACTGCTCTTTAATGAAAGATGTATTGCCTGATCATTTGATTTAAAACAACCCCTCACTCTATCATCCTCTGCTTTATTTATTACCATGACACATATGGTGACACATCACATTATGAAGTCACTTATTTGTTTTCCTTTCTTTCTCTCATACTAAAATGTAAGCTCCCTGAGTGTGTGCTTTTCATCATTTTTGTTCACAGCACCTAGACTAGTTCTGAGCATATTGCAGTTTAATGAACATTTGTCAAATAGGTGAATAAAGGAGCCAGCCACAGACAGTAGATCTCTGGTAGTTTCGAACAGGCTGCCTAAGTTCAGACAGGGTTACCATCTGACATCACCTGAGGTGGATCCAGAACAAAAAAAAACAGTGGTAAATACTAGATGTTACTGAGATGAAATCCACCATGGTCTTCCCCATGATTTGTGATATTTTCTTTCCTGCATAGCTTTTTAACATTCACTTCTTGTTTTTCAAGTTTGTTCATATTAAGTCACTAGATTTTTATACTATAGTTTATTTCAATTCACATATTTTGCCCCTCCTTTCTCTTACCCCATTTTACCTTCTTCTCCTC